TTTTTTTTTTTTTTTTTTTTCAAGCAGAGATAATAGAGGCTCTGCAAGAGGCAAAGAACTTTGATCAGAAAGAATTTCAGTCTACCAGGAACAACAACTGCACAAAAGCCATTACAGCCTGTCCTCTTACGTAGTTTGCTGAGCAGTTCCTTTGGGCCGAGGCCATTCTGGAGCCAAGTCTAAGAAATGTGCTTGATAAAGAAAACTTTGCAGATAGGAAGCATTTAATCATCTAACGACCACAATATCTTTACACCCAAGATACTCATGAGGAACAAAGTTGAAGTCAGACAGAGCTGTTGTGGCACAGGCTGGGAGGGCAAGTTCAAGGCAACAAAAACATTCCCAAGAGTGGAGGACAAGCTAGCAAGCTGTACGGATTTGAACCCCTAGTCCTTCCCCCCCGTGCTGAAAATTAATTCTCAAAATCTCTCCTTGGCCCCTCCCTGTGGCTTTGGAGTCTTCTGATAAATGCAGTGATGATCAAAAACACACTAAGTAGAAATATTTACATTCTGTGATGTGCTCACGTCATTCTTGTGCACGATGCAGCCCCAAACCACAGAGGAAAGCTGCAGCCAGTACTGCAGTCTCAAGCGAGTGCTTCTGGGGATGGAGGGGAGGAGGAGGTGGGGGAAGATCTCAAGAGATGGTCTTTCTGCTCATCATCCCTCACCGCCTGCATCCCCAAGACTATTAAAATTTGAGATTAGGAACCAGCTTCCCCCCACTTTGTTGCATTTGTAAGGCACAGCTTGCTCTTGGTCAGTTCAACTGGTTCTGCGGGGCTGGGAAGTGAAAACTCGATTTAGCCCAGAAACAGATGCAACTTGAACACGGAAGAAAAGCAAGTAGGATTGTGAGATGGAGTTTCCAGGGTGCTTTCCTGACCTAATCAGATGCCGAAATTTCCGCGTCTGCATTAAGCAACTGGGCAGCGCTTACGTTTTCACCTTACGTGTTCGTTGCTCTTTAGCCATCCACGCTCCGTGCTTTAGAACAAGGATCTACGAACATGTAGGGGATGGGAACGATACTGCAGGCCCTCCTGACTTATCGGAGCTTGGGCAAACAAAGGTCGGTGTTTACAACAGCGGCCTCACTGTAACCATGCCAAACCTGCAGAGTGAGGATGGCCTCCCCTTTTGCAGGTGCATTGGAGGAACTGATGGCTCTTAAGGTCCATTTGCAACCCCTGCTACCATTCTGAAGCCATGGCTCTTCCTGCTCATGCTTATGGATGTGGTACTCAGAGCACCTCTTGAAACAGCCAAGGACCACTTGAACCTGTTTCAGCACAACTAAATACAGAGGCAACAAACAAAGCCACACTCAAAACTTGGCCAGCTTGAGAAGCACAGAGGATTGGGCTTTCTGAGTTACAGCGCAAGCCACTGAGCATGCACTTGGTTGGTGGCCCTTGAAAACAGGATTATAATTTTGGCTCTGCCACTGATCTGCTGCGTGACCTCAGGCGCATCGTTTCATGCTTCTCTGCCATGTTTACAGGTTTAGAGGCTGGCAGAGACTCCGAAAACAGAGACTATTTCACCTGGATGGGTTTTTGTGTACCCCCAAAACCACACCCACTGGCAGTTAGCTGAGCTGTGAAATCCAAATACACACCTGTCCATGAGTCACGAGCAGATCACACAAGCCATTCTGCATGGCCAAAAATTAAATTATGGACTAAACAAATCCTGAGCCCTCCTCCAGGACTTCCAGTAGTGTGCAACGGTCCCGACGAACACAGAGCGGGGGTAACTGTTGGTGTTACTTCTAAGAAGTAAAATCTGATGAGATGCATTTACAAATTCTAACCTGAGAGTTTTATGCCATGGAAATTATCTGGAGTTCTGACAATACATTAGCTCTGACCCTGACATAACTGCATCTGGGACAACAGTTCAGGCCCATCTTTAATTACAGTGCTGCAGAGAGAGTAATCTACAGTTATCAGATCATAGCCAAATTGTTGACATTGAGGAAGCTTTCTGCAGGACAACACTGTTACGTTGGCACTGAGAACACTTAAGGACGTTATTTCCATAATGTACAGTACATCACCAGTGCTATATTATTTGCTAACATAGGCATTACCTAGGCAGATCTTAGATAAGTTTAAGCAGCTTGCCTGCCAAGTGCACACATAATCCCTGCTCTTCTATGCAGGAAATGCTGTAACATTTTAAATGCATGCTGAGTTTCGTTTCCTCAGCTCCCTCAGGGGGAAAAAATGCCCACAAGTGCTGTAATACATGCTCTGTACTAGGCCAAAAATTCTGAAGACGACCCTCCAGTCATCTCATTGTGCAATCAATCGAGGGAAATCATCGAGAGAGACACGGAGTCAGGAAATTAGACACTTAATGGCTCTGACATTAATCACTAAGTCTCAGAACAGGAGACAAAGTAATTCTGCTTTTGCTACCTCCTTCCAATGGAGAATTCAAAACTAAAGTAAAACCAAACCCAAATGAAGACCTGCTGGTGAAAGATGCCATATCAACAATCTCTAGAAATGCATGTCCGCTGGCCATGGAACAGGAACAAGACACCACCGTATAGACTTTGGCTCTAAGGTTAGGGATTATCTGTCGGTGAGTGGGCATTCAAGTCTTCAGGCTATTCCTTGACTTTCCAGCTGATGTTGCTGAAGAGAAAGGATGGTCCAGTGGTTAGTGCACCAGGCCAGGATGTAAGACATTTGGGTTCAGGTCCCTACTGTGTCAGTGTGTGATGCTAGGTAGTTCACTGCATCCCACTGTGCCTCAGCTCCCTGTCTATGAACTGGGTTTAACAGCAATGCCCTTCCTTGTAAGAGTGCTGGAGAAGTAACTGCATTAAAGATTGAGAGACATACAGACATGATGGGGATGGGGGCTATAGAAATACCTACAAGAGACAGAGCACAGGACATTTTCAAAGGCAGCTTTGGACACTGAGCAGTCATAGGCCCCTTTGAAGCCCCAGCCTCGGTGTCCATTTTATCAGGGATCATTGCCATATGGGCCGTTGTCCATTTTGATAGACCACTGACCCACTCTGCAGCTGGTGAGACTGGAGCAGGAAATACAGCGACTAGAACAGAAGAATCCTAGGTTCAGGGCCTCTCTCAAGACTTGTGCTGATGGTCAGCTTCAATCAGCCCAGCTTTATATGGGTATCCCACCACCCAGTCTGAGGTGGCTGGCTGCACTGGTAGCCACATCATTCTCTTGTTGGATGTGGCTACAGAAAACTGGTGTGCTAGTCCAATGTGACCAGCTAGGTTTGAGGGCAACTCTGACCCTGATACCTCACACCCTTCTTCCACGCTTGAGGATGTTATTGCTTAGGCTGTAGACACACACACACACACATACCAGATGCTTTTCAAACACCAAAAACAAGTTCCTGCCTTGCAGAGGGTTTTTCCTTCTTCTCTTTTACACAGATAGATACACAGAGAAGTGATATACTTTTCAATTGTCAGACAGCATGAAAGGCAGAGCTGGGAAGAGAACCAGATCCTCCTGATGCCCCATCTGCTGTTTTAGCCAACGGACAGTCCTGCTTCCAATACCACTTCCCACAACTGCATATAAATAGCTTTAAATTACTAATGACTCAGCTTGGATTCAAACCAGCAACCAAAAGTGAAAACCTCCCCGCTGCCAATGGCCTGATTGTGCCCTCTCCTCTCAAATTAACAGCTCGCCCAGTATGAAGTGACTTTTATTTTCTTAATACAAGTTGGTTGTTTTCAATTAGGTGTCTCATGACATGCTGTTTATACAGTTAAGTGTCTCTTTTATGGGCCCAATTTACTATAATATCTCAACATTAAAATGCTGTGCAATTACAGATTATGCAATGTCTTAGAGGCAGTGAGATAGAGCCCCACTATCAGCGTCCCAGAGCACAATCTTTAGTGTGTTTATCCTCACAATGCCTCTGTGAGGTAGAACAGGGCCATTCACCCCATTTTCGAGGGAGAACAGAAGCAGAGAGATGCCAGGACCCAGATCCTCCAAGGTACTTAGGTGCCTGACTTCTGCTGATGTCAGAGGAGAGCACTGGAGAGCAGCGTCTCTGAGATCAGCCCAGATGGTCACAGTGCTGGCTGCTGACCTTGAAAAAAAACAAAACACCTTAGTTTTAGTTTCAATGGGAGCTCGGCCCAGATTCTCAAAGGGATTTAGGCGCTTAAATAACGTGCCCAAAGGGACACAGGGGTCTGCGACAGGGTATGAAATTTAACCCACATTTCACAAAGCCAGGCTAGCACCCTCCCAACTGGATCAGCAGCTTTTTGTGGAGAACAGGAAAAGCTGGGCCCTCAATGCCATTAAAAGAGATCACCTTGCAGCATTCCTGATTTCCCCGCACACTCCCCACCGCTCCTGCCTTGCAAACAGAAAGAGTTTTGCTTTCTTCTCTGACTTCTCCCTCCACATCTCATCCTTTGCTTCAGCTGCAGCCAAAATGGGATGGGACTGTCTCCCAAATTTGGCTGATGTGGCATGACCTGCATCACTGGTTGGAAAGACTGTTGGCATGAGAGAGACGGCCCCAGTTTTCACAGTCACACAGGTAACACAAAAGTGAGGTCCTTACCAATGGCTCCGTACAAAGTTAAGCAGCAGGATGATCACCCCCAGGCAGTAGCATGCAGTGTAGGGAGAGCCAAAGACCCTGCTGAGCGCTCTGGTTCTGTGCTCCCATCTTGCTACCTACAAGGACAAAAGAGAAGAATGCTGAGCAGTGAGACACACGATTCATGCTGGAGCCAAAAAGGTCCCAGGTTCTTTACAAGAGCCAAGTACAACATGCATACCATCAGCTGAGGAATCAACCGGAAAGGATCAGCAAACACTGAAAGGAGTTGGCTTAACCAGACCTCAGTAGAGAACACTTCCTTCCAAGCTCTACAGTTTTTGGGAAGCTCTTGGGACACCTATTCATGCACTGGTCTTTCCACCAGGTTAGATCATGAAAGACTCATCCCCAGTGAAGGCAGGAATGGACAGCCTGCAGAGGCTCAATACACTAGGCCAGATTCTACTATGTTATAGGGAGGGGAAAATACTGAACTAGTGAAATTCCTTTTTTCCTAGAGCTCTGTACATGCTGATTCTTCCATTTTCCCAGTTCTTTTGCTCTGGTACAGCCCAACGTACTGAAAAAAATCCTGACCTGTCCCTAGACTTTATTTATACTTTGGAAGCCATTCCAAAATGCAAGCTCCAGGCCTCTCAAATGACATGCTCCCCTGGAGAGAAGAGAAGCTCCCATGCACACTTGCCCTGACAAATACCTACCTCACACTACATGGAGGCAAGCGCACCTGGCCAACAAAGCTTGTAAAGCAACCAACTCAATCCCAGCTCCTTGCTAAGATTGTGTTCTGACATCTACTGAAGTCAGCAGGACCTTTCTTAAAGACTTCACTGGGCTCTGGACTAGGCCCGGCTCTGTTGACATGTTACCTCCAAGGTCCATCTTTTGCAAAGTGCTTCAAGGTGGAGTCCAGGGATCTCAGGATTGAGCCACATATTTTATCAGAGAGTCCTGTGAAAATTTATCTTCCTTTACCAGAGAGCTGCTTCAGATAAGTCTGCTAGCTACCCTTCCCGCAAGTACAGTGTGTTTGTCCTGGTTGTGCAGTGTTAACCACTATGCCCTTATCTGTTCTCCTGGCTTGTCATTATCCATAGCTACCTAAAACTGTTACACAGAAGGGTCTTTTTTAGTAAGTTATATATTTTCACTCTCTCTCTCTCACACATGCATATAATCATAGAATAATCTGTTAACATCTGGTCTAGCGCTCTGTTTTCTGTTTGCAAATCCAAACACAGGATAAGCTATGAACTAGCATAAATGCATTGGTTTGTTATAGAGAAACCACAGAGGACAACATCGCTGTCCCAAACCCTTCCAGTCTAAGCCAGTGATTCTCAGCCAGGGTGTAGTGGTACCCTGGGGTGCTTTAAGATCCTTTTAGGGGAGCTGTGGAGTGCCACATAATGTTAGCACTGTTAAATAGGCTAATGTCATTCACAAGATCCACCCAGTATCTAAAAAGGTTGAGAACCACTAATCTAACCACATAGGCTCAGAAATAACTCCACACCTCAGCTCACCCTGGAGCAACACAGAGTTTCAGAGACTTTAGTGCCCATGTACACACTCTTCAGCAAAACTGGGGTAAGCAACTTCACATGTACCACAGGGAATGAACAGGCACAGGTGCCACAGAGTAGCCAATACACTGTGAGCTCACATGCGAGCTTACCTTGCTCAATCTAGCTTTAAACTAGACTCGCCGGGGGAGGGGGCTGCCAGA